GGTTACCACCGTGCTCCTACATGGGACAGATTATCTGCCCCTACTGCCCGCCTAACTTTGGTTTCTCAATCTCAACATTATGTGAGGTCTTCAGAGTTCACAGAAAATGTGTATTATGAAAAAAACCTATGCACGAATTTCAAATATTTTTACTAAAGTTCATACTCTGATTTTATTTTCCCATGAACTTTTTTAAGTCTTAGTATTGCCATCTAGGACTCTGTTACATAGGTGTGTCTTGTGCAGGGTGTTGAGCAGGACACCATCCTCCACCCAATGTCAGTTCTCCAGTCCAGTCCCTAGGATCAACAACAGCCCCAGACATTGACACACATTTCCTGGGAAGAAAGTTTCATGTAACTGAACACCAATAGACTCCCCCTTGGTAAAGTACAATGAGTTACCACCTAACCCCAAGCAGAATGGCCGAGATTAAAAAAAAAAAAAAAAAAAAGTGCTGGCGAAGGTGTGCTGAAAAGGGAACTCTTCCACAGTTGGTGGGAATGTAAATTAGTACGGCCACTGTGGAGATCAACATGGAGGTTCCTCAAAAATCTACACATGGAACTACAATACAATCCAGCAATTCCACTCTCAGCTATCTCCCAGGGTAGGATAGGAATACACTCTGTCAGAAAAACACTTGTACATCCATGTTTATTGCAGAGGATTATTCACAATTTGGGATTCACAATCCCAAATGTCCATGAACAGATGAATGGATTGAAAAAGTGTGGCACATATATACTACGGACTACTACTAAGCCATAAAAAACAATGTGACCTTGGAATTTAATAGAAAGCGGATGAATATGGAAGATTTAATGCTAAGCAAAGCAAGTCAGACTATGAAAGAAAGGCATTGTATGTCCCCATTTAACATATACTGAATGTCTGCATTCTATGGCAGAAACTGAAAAAACTGGAAGGTATAAAAGCATGGACAGTAACTGTTGACACCAGAGTTTGGGAGCAGGACAAGAACTGTGTGCCTGAGCCGGGGCAGGGGGGAACAAGGGGGAAAGAAAGAAAAACATTCAATGGACAAAAAGATGAAAAATTATTTGTTGATGACAACGTGTGTAATTTCTTTGGAATAACAGGGTATTCATGCTGAGAAAATTCATTTTCAATGTGAAGACAATGATTGAATGTAAAAAATAAGGAAAAAAAAAAAACGGAAGAAAATGTGTATTTGCGCAGGTAGGAAATTCCCAGAGAGGATGCCCAGAAGAGACTGCCTTTAATATTCAGTTCCTTTTACAAACTCATTGTCAGAACAGCCCCTGGCCTCTTCTCCTACAGAAGCTACTAGGACCGGAAAAGTCAGGAACGTAATTGAGGTGGACCTATAGGAAACCCAATGCTAGTACTGCTCTCCTGAAGATAGTCCCTTTTTTTTTTTTGTCATACATCCCCATGTAGTCAGTTCCTGTCGGCCTGTTTTCACAAACATTAGCTAGGAATCATGTGATCGGTTACGCACAATTACTTTCACTGGAACTAAAGAATGGGAACTAGAAAGCCTCAGCGGCCGAGGATGAAGACGTAGGGTCAAGGCTGAGTAGCTAAGCACTGCTTTAAGTCCATTTGCTTCTTAGAGTTACTGTGTTTGGAGGAAGAAGCATCATCTATATGTATTTGTATGTTTGCCCATGGTTACCAGCCCTTGAGAGAGTAAGCTAGTGCAGAGTTGTCACACTTTTTGGCTCTGGACCTCTTTAAACTGTAAAAAGTTGAAGACCTCCAAAGCCTTTGTTCATTGTATCAACTGATATGCAAAGTACTGCGGTGGTGGTGAATGGCTGGATCCCACATGGCTGACTGTGTGGCTCAAGTCTCAGGCTCAGAGGCAACCCAAAATCTTAAAAGGATAAGGCTGAAGGGATAGCAGTGTAGCCATCCCAAGGGGGTGATTTCTTGATTTCTCACTTTCTCTGTTCCTAGTGAGTGCATATACCCTATAGCAAATTAAAATTTATAACAGTATTGCAAACAAAAACTAAGAAATTTTATAAATATTTATTACTTCCTCTAAAAATAACAGTAAACACATTACATTTTAAATTACATTTTTTTTTAAAAATGAAAAATAACTAGATTTTCCAAGGTAAAAACAATTTAGCGAAGAGTGACATTATCTTTCTCTTGCGCAAACCTCTTCAATGTCTGGGTGAGTAGACAAGATGGATTTTCCTATCTGCTCTGCAGTCACCAAGTTGTGGCATCTGGGTTTAAGTACATGAAGAGAAATCCAGCATCATACACACATGTAGTAGGGAAGTGGGAGGTTGTTTCAGCAGGCTTCTCAGACGATCAGGATATTCTTCCCTGATCACTGCAACTTGCCAAGTGGTCGTTTGAGGTTAGCTATAGCCCCTGCCCTGGGACATGTGGCCTGGACCTCTGCTCTGGGGCCTCTCTTCTGATGACAGGGCTGCCCACTTTGCTTGGTCACAGTTCAGCCCAGAGACTGCTCTCCCAGGCCACACTGTCATTTTTCCTGTTGCCCTCCTTCACATCTTTTCCTCCTTCCTCCTCTTCCTCTCCTGCCACCCTGGCTCCTTCCCTGGTTTTCACTCCCTCCTCTACCTTCTCCACGGGTCTCTTCCTCCTCTGAGACTCCACCTCCAGGCCTCTGAAGGCCAGGCAGGGTGTCCAGATACTGACTTTCTCCCAGCTGCTGTGAGGATGGGGTCCAAGGTGAACAAGCTGCCAGGTCTGTCTTTAGGGGCCAGAAAAGTTTCAAGAGCAGATCAAGCCAGAAGGCACTGCCTCAGATCCTGGTTACTGCCTGGCACAGCTGGGCATGGTGGCTGGGGTGAGCGAGCCCATCGCTATCAGAATTGAGGAGTCAGCTCTGAACACAATCGTATGATGAATTTTAATGTCCCAGGTAGTTTCACTCTGATTTTCATTTTTGTTAATCTTGTGACAGATTCCTGAGATTTCAAGACACAACTGATTACTCATGTTTAAATAAAACATTGGTTCCATCTTAAGGCCACAAAGTCTTCAGGGGATCTATCGCTCATTTAATCTTGTTCGTCACCTTGTCAGCCAATATATGCTTTCCTGGGGCTGATATCTTGAATGTAAAGGCCTCCCTCTGGACCACAGCACAAAGTGATCATCGTTTGCTGATCAGGGACGACTGCTCTGCTTTTAGACACGCAAAACTGGTACAGAGTAATACCTTAGTATCTTTCCTCCAGTGCAAATTCAGTTTTTTTTTTTTTTTTTTTTTTAAGAGAGATTTGTTATAGGGCAAATGCACATGCAAGAGAGACAAAGACATAGAAAGTGAGAAATAACCCTCTCCCAGGGGGAAGGCCACGCCACAATCCCTTCTCTTCCAGTCTCCTCTTGGGACTTTGGACATGTACGCACATGTGCCTGTTGTTTTAAACTGCTGGTCTGGGATTTCAACCATGGTCAAGAACGTGGGAGCCCAATGACATAACCATTATGACATCTGTGGTCCCATCTATTGGTATGATTTTAAAGTCAGGGTTTTCTTGCTTCTAAATTCTTGGGAGTCGGGTGAAACGTAGTTGCATAGCTTTTCTGATCGAGCAGTGAGTCAATGGCGAGTGATGTAAATGCAGGACATGTCCAACAGGGTCCCTGCCCTGGAGACAGACGGCAACGCCAGCTGGAAAACGCGCAGCTACTGAAGAGGACAAGGAGGCTTCACAGGCTGAGAAGCCATACTCAAGGCAGAGCGACATGGAGGGAATGGTCTCGGCCAGGTCCAGAATGGGGTGACGATGGTAACCTCAGGAAAAAGCCAGTGGGGAAGCAAACGTGTACTCTAGGCACTGTGGTAGACCCATTGGGGGTGAAGGCCTGCATGGTGAGACCAGGAGGGTGGGAGGGCAACTGTGGGCTGGCCTGCAGGCCTTGGGCAAGGCTGCACTTCGGCATGAGGGAAACATGGCAGCAAGTTTCTGTAAATGAGCAACTGGGTGTATACAGAGAGATAGGCCTGAGCTTTGGGACAGAGAGAGGGAGCGTCGGGGAACTAGTTCATGTGACACTTATCTTAGCAGTCCTACAAAGCAACGACGGGACACCAGGAGATGGGAGTGACTTGAGAGACCTCATTTATGTAACATGTCTACGATTTAGAGGATTTTTCTTACGTGATCTCATTTTACTCTCAGAACAACCTGTAAAACAGGACATTTGTCACATTTCACGGGTAAGGAAGCACGGCTCGGAAATACTGCTGTCACTTTTAGCAATGCTTCCTGAGTTTGTGTTGGGACACCACCGTTTTTCTCATTCCTTCCTAAAGAAATCTTTCTTCTGTATTTCTCTTCAGTTCAGCCTTGGAGAGAGCTGTCCCCGGGTCCCCTCTGCCACTCTCTCATAGGTGAGCCCCTACTCTCACGGTTGACGGCATCACCTAAGCTGACACCCGCTGAGTCTGTCGCACAACTCAGATCCTCGCAGAGAACGCGACCACACACGACCACTGGCCTAAACCCTCACTTCGGTCAATCTAAAACCTAATTTTTCACCCTACTCTTGTTCCACTTTCACTCCCTAGTTTGTCAAACCCTACCACCTAGTCCCGTGAGGGCAAACATGCCCCCTCTAGCTTCTTCTTGGCTAACTTCAAGTAACAACATTTTGTATAAAGAAGAGGGAGTGAGGAAAAGCCAGAGGCCGGCCCCTCCCCAGAGGAGCACTCATGGCAGTATGCAGGCCTGGAGGCCGCCCAGTGGAGACAGGGAGGAAGAGGCTGGTGCTCAGTGGAGGGAGGACAGGCCAGTTAGTTGCTGGGGCTTGGAGGTATATGAATCCTGAATGTTGTTTCTAATACTTTGATTCTGGATTTCTATTTTATAGCATTTTATACATGGTCTTAATTTCAAATCGCTTCACGTTTTTCTTTGAAAGCATGAGAGGTTTAAAATATGAATTCAAATGACACCGCAATCCTATAAGACAGACAAGCCAGGTACATTAGTCTAGTTTTACAATTCACCTGATTCACTGATTTGTACAAACATTTATTGAGCACTTCTGATGGGTGCAAGGCGCTGGGATATAACAATGATTACGACGAAGTCCCTAAGGAGCTCACAGTCTAATGGTAAACTACTGAGTAAACTGAGGCACAGAGTGGTAAATGACTTACCCAATGAGGTAGAGATAGCTAGGTATGTGGAAACGTGGGACAGGGCTGGAGAGAGGGCAGGCTGCGAACCACCCTGAGTCACACCCCTTGGACTAGCGAGCAGCGCTGCACTCAGGAGCGGCTATAAAATCTGCTTGCAAAAAGCTGCAGGTAGTTTCCCATTTCTCCATGATTGAATTTATGTCTCACAATGAACTAAACTGTTACCTGAGGGTGTTTCTACAACTTGCCCCTGAAGTGTCAGGGCAGGCCACCAAGCTGCTGGGACAGTATCTCTGCAGACACCTTGAAAGCGAGAAGTGTCTGACTTCAACATCAGCACTGGGAACTGTATAAAATATTTTCATTAAATCCATGAACTCAGATGTATAGCATATTTATGATACTTCTACATGTAGAAGCTTGGGAAAATTTTCCTCTAACCCTCATCCAGAGGATTCTAATAAGTTATAGAAATAGAGGAAATTAGAGAATTTGTCTATCACTTTCATATATACATTATTTTGGCTGTACAAGTGAAAAGTGTCACTTAGACATACTGTAGGTACCTAAACCTTATACAGATATATACAAAGACATCACATTTAGATTCGCGTGTACACCTGTCAAACATGAATCAGTTAACTGCAAACACGACCCAGTGTAAGGCAATTTCTTTAGTGACATAAGCCTCGAAGGAGCGAGGAGAGTCCACGGAGAACTGTCTGCTTCGGGTGTGTCGTCTGTTTTCATGATCCTCTTTAAGACGAAATTATTTCAACCCACATCTCAGCCATGTGGGAGTTCAACAACATAGATTAACCAAGATGGGAACCAAGACATCAGGAACCAAGATGTGTATTTCACTGACAGCGCAGTGAACAATGATAAAAAGAGCTGTTTTGAGTGTGAAAACCTTAATTACCCAGTACTCCTGGTAGGGAACTACCCAAAGACACTCCTGACCTAACGTTGCCACCAGCTGAGAAGGAGAGCACTTCCCGGATGACTTACTGCTCCAAGAATCAAATCTGATGCATAATTCATCCACAGAGGACATGCCAGAAAACCTCTCAACACACGAATTCTCAAATGCTATCAGTTGCTCACTTCCAGCAATTCTTCATTTTGCTGAGGATTTTCTTCTGAAAAAACACATAAGAGAGAAATTCCTGTAAGTGAAGGTTTAAAGGAAAAGAGGTAACAAAACATACAATTCAACTGCTTAAAATAAAACCGTGGGGGGGCCAGTAGGTGGCGTGGTGGTTACGAGTGTTGGGCTCCCACATGGCCGACCATGGTTCAAGTCCTGGACCTGGTGGCTTGCTTTCTCACTTTCCTCCTCCTCTCATCAAACTGGAAAATAATAATAATAATAATAATAAATAGAGTTAAAAAAATAAATAAAACTGGGGATTCCTCTCAAGAACCTCATTCTTATGTTAATAGCATGAAACTACTTTTTTTTTCAGTTTCATGAGCATAAACTAGAACTCAGATTTGTCACTGGAAGCAGTGACTGTCAGAGACTGCTTTTGAAAGTCTTCCCAGGGGCCAGTAAGTGATGTGGTGGTTAAGGGCACTAGACTCCCACATGGCCAACTATGGTTTGAGTCTTGGACCTGGTGGCTTGCTTTCTTACTCCCCCACCATCCCCCTCCGTCCCTCTCTGGTCAAATTAAGATAAATAAATAAATAAATAAATAAAGTAAAATTTAAAAAATAATAATCTTTAAAAGAAACAAACAAACCAAAAGTCTTCCCAATTCAAAGACCACCACAAGTGAGAACCACCATGGGAGCAACTACAGTTCTAAATTTCCACTAAAATCAAAACCACATGACTCCAGCTATAATGAAAGTGCTTTAAAATAGTCTGAAATACAGTAAGAATTACTTTTTTATATATATATCTTAATTTATTTTAGCAGGAAGAATAAAAACATCCTAAGGTCATAAAGTTGCATATCCTTGAAACTCATTAGAACTACACATTTTCTAATCACAAAGTTGGTATATTCACCTTCCTTCGGGTGCTCTGGGTTTTTGCTTTCAGACGAAGAGGCCTTGACCCCTTCAGACGCTTGTCGACTCGAGTGACCCTGCTCCACTTCGCACAGATAGACATCAATGGGTCCTTTGGTGCTTCTTATATGCACTGTGATGGAGTCCTAGCAAAGGGCACACGAAACACCAGGATGCAGGAGAGAATTAACTCATCACATTTTTTCACGTACCCGAAAGTTTCAAGAAACTCTTCTGAAAATTTAAATTCCAGTACTTTCCTCCCTACCATATACTTAAGGAAACTGTCTTCTTAGCTGTAGTCACATTAAAGCACTAGTCAGTTCAGTTAGGATGGATATGATGACGGAGAGACGGTTTCAGAGCCATCACATAATACCTCAGGACCCAGGTGCCCATCTCTCCCCATTCAAGGCACTGATTCCTTCAAGGAGGCCATGTAGATGCCATAGAACTCCAGAATCCCAGTCTCTTACAAGGGAATGTTTAGATTCCCAGGACAACAAAGAGGCACTGAGACAAATGGAAGGATATGCTTTTGTCCAGTTGAAAGAAATGAGAGGACAAGATCAAGTAAAAAATATGTGATTTGAAATATTAAAAAGGAACAGGCTGGGATGGCCCTGTGGCCTCATGGTTAAGGGAATTAGATCCCACACAATCAATCATGGTTTGAATCCTGGCCCTTACGGCTTGAAAACCATCCTGGGCACGTATGTGTGTGCTTAAAATCCAAACAGGATGGAGAAATGCAAGAGAGGGGATGGTGATGTGGCTATGCCCAGATGTGGAATACTGTCTCCCCCCACCTTGTGATAAAGAGTAAAGAAAAAGTTAGGAACTGCATGTAAGGGACTATTATTAACTGTGATTTTCACATCCTTTGGCTTCAGAATTATTCAAGGTTATTTAAAACACTATTTCTAGGACCAGGAGATGGCATAGCAGTTACATCACTGAACTCCCACATGGCCAACCACAGTTCGAATCCTGGATCTGCTGGCTTCAAACTCACACTGGATGCGTGTGCCTTCATGCCCAAGATCCCAGGAGGAAAATGGAGGAGAAGGGATTGTGGTGTGGCCATCCCGCTGGGGGCAATTTCTCACTTTCTGTCTGTCTGTCTCTCTTTCTGGCGGGTGCACGTGCCCTATAGCAGAAATTTCTCTCTCTCTCTCAAAAAAAAAAAGTTTCCATAAACTATCAGGAAATTGGGGGCCTCTAATGAGAATTAAACTAAATTCTTCAGAAACAGTTCTCGTTATGAATGATAGGCAGAAGCTGATTCAGCTGTAAAAGTCTACTTCACCCCTTGCACATGGGTAGACCTGATGCTATGGACCCAGCTGCCCCTCTGCTCTATACCTCCCAAAGACCTTGCAAGAGAGGAAAGTGGTAAGAAGCAGCATTTCAGTGTCTTGGGACCTTGTTTGTTGTCCTTGCTGTGGTTTTAGGGTATAAGACAGGTGGGCTAGAATGCTCAGTTTCTAGAGTGTTAGATCAGGTCTGGTTTGAATGGTGAAGCCTAAACAATTCAAGTTATTTCTAAACAATAAAAAATAAATAAATAAATAAATAAAACAAAAAACAATATGTTGCTCTGGATGGGCAGTCAGCTGGGTTGGCAAACTCCTGCCCCGGGCAGGATGGCTCATTTTTTCGGGTTTACAGCCCTTGCTGTCCCTGTCACAACTACTTAACTCTGCTACTGTGGTATGAAAGCAGTCAGAAACATTATCTAAACAAACGGGCGTGTGGCTGTCCTCCAATGTTATTTACAAAAACAAGCAGCTGGCTGCACTGGGCCTGAAGGCTGGCTTACCAACCCCTGCTCTGCGCCCACAGCTCTCTCCAGGCCACGGGGAGGTCAGACTCCACTGAACCCAGTATGTTCTCGTCTTGTTCTGAGAACTGCTGACCAAGCGGCCTAGGTCGCGGTGGCTAGGCTGGATTCCACATGGCTGACCATGCGGCTCCAGTACCGGACCTGGCAGCTTGGGAAACAGGCCAGGTGCACCCAAAATCCAGAAAGGAGAAATGGAGAAGGGACTGGGGCCTGACTACCCTTCCTGCCTACCCCTGCCCCGGCGAATGCAGGTACCATCTGGGAAATGTAAAAAATAAGAACAAAACATGAGACTTAAGAGAAGCCCTGGGCATGACCAAAGGCTCAGAGAGGGGGGCCAGCAGGTGGCATGGTAGTGAAGGTGCTGGACTCCCATAAAGCTGACTGCAGTTCAAGTCCCGAACCTGGAGGATTGTTTTCTCACTTCCCCTCTCCCTCTAGTAAGTACATGTGGCCTATAGAGAATTAAAATAATAATAAAACAATTAAATTAGTAATTCTTTAAAAAGAAAGGCCTACCAAGACTTGACAATTAGTCTGAGGTGCTCACAGCAGAGGGGGAAAAAGCCATCAGTTTCTGTAGAATGGCTCATGCTCCAAAGTAAGATGTGCTGAAAAATGAGTGGGTACTTATTAAAAAAAATAAAACTCTTACTTTAGGGACCAGCAGTTGGCATAATGGCTATGAGACTGGACTCCCATGTAGTTGACCATGATTCGAGTCAGGGACCCGGTGGCCTAAACTCATGCTGGGCAAATGTGTGTGTGTGCCCAAGATCCTGAGAGGAGAATTGAGGAGAAGGGATTGTGGCGTGGCCATCCCCACTGGGGGTGAGTGATTTCTCTTTCTCTCTGTCTCTCTCTGTCTTTCTGGCAAGAGCACACGCCCAATAGCAAAAAACCTCTCAAAAATAAATAAATAAAAATCCCTCTTATTTTGTTATTTGGATACATGGCATGTCTCTAAATTTAAATGGAACAACTAGGAAACATCACTCTGAAGTCACATCTGCATGTGACGGAGTTGGCTGTGCCACAGTTGATCTGCAGTGCACTGTCAGGTAGCACAGGGTCTTCCTTGAACCGTGGTCTGCCAGGGACAAAAGGAAAGCTGGGTGGTGACAGTATTCTTCACTGTGAGGGAAGCAAATCCCTAGAACTATGAAGAGGCTCTCGCTATGGGCACCGATGGGTCTACCAGGCTGTCAGACTTGATGGTTTGTCCCAAGAATGGCCACATCCCTTGGTTCTGATTCCATCCTTACCAAGCAACCTTCTGAAGACAATTATCTCTCAATACAAACTTTCCTGCAAGGGAAAGAATGGGCTAAGCAGCTGCAGCTGCAGAAATTGTACTTTCCATTTCAAACGTGTGCCTTAAAACTGGTCTAGTTTATTTGTGAGTCTGGTATGAGTTTGGTTAGTAAATTAATTTCCCGGAGCCTTGGCTGAGACCGAGTAAGTAAGATCTTACTTACTGAAACTTGAAGACAGGCCAGTTCTTGGTGATTTCTTTAAGAAGCATTATAACAAAATGGTGAAGAACAAACCCTGAAGCCAAACCACCTGGGTCTGGTTCTGTCACTTACAGTGTGATCTTGAGGAAGTTACAGTATCTTTCTGCTTTGGGTTTCTCAGCTTAGCATGATAATGACTACTTTATTTGTTATATTAGTTAAAGCAAGTTAAAACGTATGCACTGTGGAACAGTTATCAGAGGGACAGCCAAGATGTACCCAAAGGCTATTTATTAATTACTGACTGTCCGAGCACAGCCTAAGCAGTCAGCCCTCCCTGTTTAGATCTACTTAAAACGCAGGGCTACCTACTTCTCTGGGAGCTGGAACATCCAACCTGGTTTCGGCTGGAGCTTTAACTGCGATCACAATCTGTTCGTGGAAGGCTTGAATGCTGTGAATATCCTGATACGTCACATATGCTAGTGTAAAGATCGGTCAAGGAGCTCTAAGCACAGCACGACTTACTGGGAAGATCATTCATCTCCTGTAATCCATGAATGCAAGCGTAATGTAAGAGAACGTTTAGTTTTTATGGGATGCAAATTCATAGTTAAGTTAGTAAGTTACTTCATAAATCATTCTTATCTCCTGTACAATACTGAATATTTTACCAAGAGTTTTACAATGTTTATAACTCAAAGAATTCCTTTAAACAACACTATTGTAATTATGACAATTCTGGAGGAAAATATTAATGCAGTCTGAGTACCTAACACAAACACAACTCACGAAGATATTCAAATTCCCACCTTATTCCCTGTTCATTTGCTAGATCTTACTATAACTCTGGGGAGACAAATTCAGTATTTTGATACAAATCCCCTAAGACCTATGAAAACAGAAACAACCAGGAGATAAGTTTTTCAGGACTGTCAGATATGATGGATGTCTTTCATCCAAAATTATTTCCCACCTTACTACCTGAACCTTTTCCATTTTGTTTTACTGCATTGCTTAAAATTTTACCTATTAAATGATTAATTAAATGATCTCCAGCATTCTCTCTCTGTAACTACATACTTTTTAATGGCTATATAGTTCCGCTAGTGTTATTTTAATTTTCCTTCTAACAACTGCACTGTGGGAGTAAGAGTTTTGACTGCTGTAGAGAGTTTACATAAATTTGACATATGGAATGGATTGGAATTGGTGACATCCTAAGAATGCCATACGGAACAGGATGGCATAAAGAGAGGGTGGAAACCAGACGGGTACCCCCACCAGGCCCAGAGACACTGCACTCAGAGTACTGACAGTCAGCACCACTGGGCCTATGTGGACTTTTAAGTACCTACCACTCTAATGACAATTCACTGAGTTCCAGAAACAAACTTTAGTTCACCAATTAGGGAAAACTTAACTTTACAGAAGCTAACAAATACTGTATTACTTTTTAATTGGCTTGGAGAAGTTATGACACATGTTTGTATAGAAAAACACAGTAGAATTCAGACTACAAAACACTAATGCTCCACTATTTCAAGCAGAAACGGCAGCTCTGGTCTGCTCTGTTATTGTACTACTGAGAAACACCACATCAGGAGATAAAACCAATAGCACATTGCTTATGTCTGAGGCTACACTCTCCAACTTTCACTTGCTTTAATGTCTATGCTCTAACCTTCTATTTTAATATGTAAACTAAACCCCCGAGCTGACCCTACTACTTGAAGTAATCTGCTCTGGAAACAGAAATTTTAAAAATGTACAGACTTAAAGGATATCTTTCATTTTCTTTGTCATCCGTTAACTCAAACAACTGCTGAGCACAATCTTTAATTAAGTCATCCAAAGCATCTTCCATTGCTGATAAGTCAGAAAGTTCCTCTTGTAGCTTCTTCTGCTGGGGTACTGCTCCAAAATCGCTAAGATCAGACCCTCTTTAAAAACAAACAAAAAATCACCATCAGTAACACCCACAGAATAATAACAAGTTAGGTTGCTGGAACTCCTCCAAACATTTCCCATCAGGTGTTTCCCACAACAGACAGACAGAATCTAGGGGCTCTGATGTAACTGCTGCTTCTCTGTATTCTGGACAGCCACTCTTCTTCCCGTACACAAACTGTTATGTCTCCCCACTTACAGTTCATCACCTTACACAGGGATATCTTCAAAAATATATTACAGTCCTACAGAAACTAATAATGGCAAAGAGAGCTTAACGAAGTCGACGGAACACTGAATTAAGATGAACGGTACCCAGCCGAAGCCGCGGCCCTACCTACAGCCTGACCTGATGAGGCACTTTTCAGTGCTTTAGTTTATACACATGAAAACCGAGGACGGGCTGAGTGAGTTCCTCTGCCAAGATTCTGACTTCTTCCCTCCCGTGTACACCCTACGTGAACATAGTGGCTGCATTCATCATTCTTAAAAGATCTATTTTCTTCAGTTATTAGTGGCTACTACAATATGACCAGGCAACAATGGAAACTCACTTTCTCCTTCAATTTGTATGGAAACTAAATAGGGGAAAGGCCATCACCTTCATCTTTTATCCCATTCTTGCTACTTTTCATGTCTGAGTCTCATCACTACCTGATATGAACCCTTGAAGTATTTTCTAATATCATTTAGTAAATATGTTCAAATTAGAATTCAACTCTATTTCTGTACTACTGAAAAAAAACGAACTTGATAAATACCTGTCCTCTAGTAACTAGGTTATGTAGAAACACTTTATGACCCTTGTTGGTACGTTTCATTTGCCTGAAAGTACATACTTCCACTTATACACTTACATGCTGTTAGAACTGTTTCTTCCTGATCCAAAACACTGCCTAGCCTAAGAATACCAGTGTTTTCCTTAAGAGTATGTGTGCAAACATACACATAGCGTTATCCACATCTATGTCATAAGGTAATTTTTCCAAGGGATCCCTCTTGATCATGTGAATGAAGTCTTCAGTAACTGTCTTTTAGGCATTAAGTCTGCTTTTTGTTTTGTTTTCTAGATATTCAGGGAGCTGTGTTTCCAAGTGTGGTCCATAGCCCAACTGCATCACAGTCACGGGGTACCTGCCTTCTCCAGAACCACTGACCTAGGGCTCCTGGGATAGGAGGTCTTGGGGTCGTCGCATACCTGTGAAAACCACTGTCCTACATCAAGGGATTCTCCCCAATATCATCAATTGGCATTGAGGAAACACTTAAAAAAAACAAAACTCGTGTACTTTGGGGGACAACGCAAGAAAACTTTACAGAACCTTTTTTGAAGTCTTTTTCTTTTGGTTTTATAGTGTCACAACATTGTTAATATCTACTGTCACTTAATGAGAAGGGCGGAAAGCCAAGAAAAGTCTGAAACCAGCTCACATCCACCGAATGTGGTTCTTAGACTTCTTCTCAACTAGGTCGATCCCGTCGAGGACATTGGTGATGTCATAGACTCTCCGCTTCCGCACTCCCAGCTTTGTTGCAACCTTGTTTAAGTCGAGAATGCCGCCAGGGGCAGATCTGACAAGATCCATAAATTTTCGAGTTAAATAAACCAGTGAAACATCAAAACGAGGTCTCTTCACTTTTAGAGCTTCTGGGAAACAAAATAGACACATTTGTAAAAATTTAATACATCTCTCAAGTCATTTAAAAAATCATTTCCTCTTGATCAGAAAACACAGACAACTACAGAAATTCCCACACACTGGCCAAATCATAGGTAATTTCTAGAAAATGAACTTCTCAAACTGAATGAAAAATGAACTGGCCTTTCCCAGGCCTAAACAAAGGCTCTGAATTTAGTTAAAGGAGTATTTGAAATACGCGGTGAGTTTCCATCGAACATACAGATTTGCAGAAGTACACTGCATCTTACCAGACAAAATAACGGGTTTATATTTATACCCATACCACTCTCAGGAGTAGGATGAGAAGTGACTTCTAACATTAAGTTTCTCATTTTGTCTTGAAGTTAAGAAATTCTTTAGAAAGCAAAGGCAAAGACTTGGCTTTTATTGTTTCAATCCATATCAGGTGTAACCCTGCCTGATAAGTGTTTCAAAGAGCTCAAACTAGTCTTTCATTAGGACAATTATGATGTACCTTCAAAAAAAAGTAGTTATTATCTCCTTTTTAAAATATTTAGTATACTGGGCCAGCAGGTGATGTGATGGTTAAGGGCCCTGGACTCTCATATGGCTGACAGCTTGCTTTCTCACTCCCCCCCCCACTCTGTCCCTCTCTGGTCAAATAAATCAATAAATAAAAAGTTAAATAAAAAAATAACAAAATATTTAAAAATACACATTATGCTAAAGTAACAGAGAAGCAAACGAAGAGAAAAAAAATCCCTTTAATTTCCTCACTCAATGACAGTTTTGTGTTTTCAATCACACACCCCTCCCTCAACACACATACACACTTGTGTGTCAATGTATATATAGAAATTTTAAAAACAAAAATAGGAACATTCCATTTTATAACATGCCTTTTTAACTCAATACTGTGAACGTCCTAACATGGCAACAAATGTACACTGACATTGTTCTCAATAACTGTATTTAACTGCACGAAATATCTGAAGTTATCCCAATAATGAAAATTCACAGTCTCCAAATGTACTGTTTTGCATAATATTTCATCGAACCTCCTGATTGCTCAGTAACTGTAGGGATCCGTAACTGTTCCCTTTAGATAAAATTCACAATGTGGAATTGAATTAAAAAGCTGTCTTTTAAGGATTTTTGGTATGTACTGCTAAACCGCTCTCCAGGTTGTGTGAGTGTGGGGAGGTCCCCACCAACTTCACACAGTGTATGAGATTTTCACGTCACGCACTTGCTGAGTATGTTTATTTTCTTCTCAGCCTTTCCAGCTTGATCCTAAAAAGGTTCTGATGGCTTAGTCTGCACAGGACAGGCACATTTTAAACAACTCAGTTGTCATCCTGGTGTGGAAGATGTGGTTTCTCCTCTCCTCTCCTCCCACAGCACACCACAATCAGTGCGCTTCAGGTCAGGTTTCCATCCTACCTTCATCATAACTGCCCGTACTGGGGACCCTGACAATGGCTTTTCATTTAGCGACCACTAGTGATTACTCCGAGAGCAAAAGTACTTTCAAATATAAATGTCTTCTCTATGGAGCATGCTACTATACTCAAGATCAAACAGCAGTAAAGTAGGAATTCAAGAGTTTTTAATTTAAAGTAGAAATCACAATTCTATTAAAAAACCTTAGAAGATTACAAATGAGTAATTCTAATTTTAGAAAGTATATTTAATTATATTCATTCCTAATAACTCATGGTCTTATAAACTCAGAAAAAAGAACATCCCTACAATGCTAGCTGATTTTCTAAAAAGACAAATATAACTAAACACCTCTGACACGACAGTTGTTGTCACCTAGATACAAATATAATTAAAAAGGTCTTCAAATTACAAGAGTTCCAGTCCAGTAAGGAACTCTATTATAAACTTGAATAAGTGCTAAGAGAGGTGTTTAAAGTTTCTTGAGAAATGACATGAACCCTTCAGTGGAGAGGGAATCGGAAAGGCCTCCTAATGGGAGCGTGCTGGGAACAGAGGACAGAAGGACAGACGGGGGAGGCTGAAGAGGCAGGGGAAACAACAAGTATAAAGGAAAGTGGCATTTTGAGAATGGGGTGGCTTCACCAAGGGAAGAGGGCAGCAAAGTGCTAGAAGACAAGGTTGCGGCGTTGAGCAAGAACTGACCTTCCAAGGCACTGTCTACCGATTTCCCCACCGCCTTGTTCTAACGATATGAGGTATTCATAAATTTTATACAAATATTCTCTACAGATAATTGAGCATTACTGAAGATTTCAGTTGACTATCATCATCTTATTTCTGTACTGGGAAAATCATGCTAGAGTGTGTGGGTTAATCCACGGACTGTCTAAATGGCAGCCCACTTAGAAGTCTCGCTGTCCCACCACTTCGGTTTCTGAGCGAGTCAGACAATGAACAAGAAGTGGTCTAACAAAGTGGTTAAGACCGAGTGGGCTCTTGAGAGGCATGGGATCGAACCCTGACTCTGAGCAAGTTAGTTAAACTCTCTGGGCTCCAGTTTACTCATTTATAAAGTATGAACTATAACCCGTACCTATATTTTGAAAGGCTGCTGTGATAATTCATGCAAAGAGCTTAATACAGCGCAGGCATAAGCTCAGTAAATGTTAGACACCATCCTGAGGGAGCAGTAGGGGCGGATGAAACAGACACTTCAAAGGGAAAGCTGACCAAACCTGGTGACTAAGCACAGGTGAGACTGGCAGGGGCTGAGGAAATACCCAGAGTCAATATTTATAAGATCTGTATTTGGGCGTCTACGTACTATCCATCCACTGAGAGGAAACAGGAGTGGGGCCACCTACCCTAAAGATTTCCAGAAGGGGGGCCGGCACTTGGCATACTGGTTAAGGGCACTGGACTTCCACATGACCGATTGTGGTTCGAGTCCTGAACCTGGCGGCTTGCTTTCTCATTCTCTCTTTCTCTGTCCCTCTCTTGTCAAATTAAAATAATTCTTAAAAAAATAAAAATAAATAAAAAAAAAAAACACCCCAAGATTTCCAGAAGGATCTGGCACTAGTAACTAACATCTTTAACTGACATCTGACATCACCAACGTCAGTCCGAGGAAGGCGCACAGGGAGCCCGAGGAGACGAGAGGGGGAGACTGTCCCGCCGACTGCCCAGCTGCCTTCGACCTGCTGATGACAGAAGGGATTTCTCTCACCAGAGGAACCCTGGGAAAATATCTTTACACACACGGTGCAATCTTAAAAATGACATATTCTCAAGGCAATGAAGAATAAACTGCCACCTATAGTTATTCAACCCACACTCTCAGGAGTTTTTATATGAAAAGTCCAAACTGTACATTTCAGTGTACAAATAATACATTTCATTTCAGTTTCTCATCAATGTGTACATGTTTAAAGTAAATCATTTTAATCATATGAAGTTCAGTCTATGAAACCTAAAACCTACTCAGGAATCAACTTACTTCTCATGGACACATACTGTACATTATCTTCTAAATTAATCCTTATTTTTGATGGCTGGAAAAAAAGAAAGATATAAAAATTTAACTTAACAATTTAAAAACAACAATGCAAATGAATAGCATTTTACTCTATAACGTAAAGGTTTGTGTTTTCCTCACCCTAAGGTAGTAATTCTGGTGTGAGAAAAACAGTCCTTCCACATTAGGTCTCTTCTAACTCTAATCACACCTGACAATGTTCATAGATTTAAATTTCTCAAAATGCATGGACTCCCTTAAGTATGGAAGTAGTAAAGATAGAAAGGAAGGGTGATGGAGAATAAGAACGTAAACATGAGAATTTATTCCGCGCAGACATTAAACGTTGACTGTGTGAGGACTGAACATGAAAGGCACGAGAAGATCATTCCAGCTCTGTCCCTGGCTGGAAAGCGCAGCGGCGGTGGACGGTAAGTCCACACCAACGAGCGGTTCCCAAGAACTGTCCTCACAACTTTCCCAGGCAGCCACGAATTCCCATTTGAATTAAAGGAAGAACAGCAGCATTTCTGATAGTGGGAAATAATGCACGCTGTGGATTACTAGATACTTTGGCATTAGATAAATAAGTTTCTTTTAAATATCTGAACCAACCAGAAAATTAGCAGCAAGCCCATTATCAATGCTCACCATTTTACCAGCGAGTTATGAAAGTTTGCATAAACTGGCTGTAACATTTCTAACACACTTAGAAATTGCCTTTTGTAAAAAATAAAATCAAATCTTATGATGAAACCTTGTACACACTCATCTTAACCCTACAAGGGGGGACAAGGGGTTCGAAGATGGCGTATGTCTCCACAGGCTGCCCTCAGGCTAGGTCCTGGCTAAGGGAAGAAACTGGCCCCGAGAGACAAAGTGGGTGAGTGAGGTCCCTGAGTGTACCATGGATGGATGTTCCAGACCACAGGGCGATCACAGGCTTCTCTTCTGGGGAGGGTGGCTCCCAGCTGAGCCTTGGTGGCTAGATTTTGACTGAATAAGAAGCACCAGGGAGGGGGAGAAAGACAGGATTCCCGGGCAGGAGATGAAGCACGAAGTGTGAGGGTGTGAACCGCATGGCTGTTCCACAACACCGCTGTGCGGCAGTGTCGATGTGACTTGACTTCGAAGCTGGAAGGGCGTGCTGGCATCACAGAAAAGTCGTGCTAAGGAGTCTGGAGAATCACCAACTACAGAACGGAACTACGTCAAGTTCATGGTTTAGGAATCTAAGTACAGTGAGAGAGGGAAAGTGAAACGCCGGGTTGGGACTCAACCAGCAGAGCTGGCGACGTGGGACCCAGGTGCGTTAACCACCACACGCCTGGCCCCTTCTGCGGGGTCTTTTATTTTTTGGAGAGGTTTTTGCTATAGGGCGCATGCGGTCGCCAGACAGACAAAGAGACAGAGAGACAGAAAGCGAGAAATCGCCCCCCAGAGGGGATGGTCACGCTGCAATCCCTTCTCCTCCATTCTCCTCTTGGGATCTTGGGCACGCACTCACACGCGCCCGGCGTGAGTTCTAAGCCACCGGGTCCAGGACGCGAACCGCGGTTGACTACGTGGGAGTCCAGCGACAGGCCCCTTCTGCGGGGTCTTTTATTTTTTGGAGAGGTTTTTGCTATAGGGCGCATGCGGTCGCCAGACAGACAAAGAGACAGAGAGACAGAAAGCGAGAAATCGCCCCCCAGAGGGGATGGTCACGCTGCAATCCCTTCTCCTCCATTCTCCTCTTGGGATCTTGGGCACGCACTCACACGCGCCCGGCGTGAGTTCTAAGCCACCGGGTCCAGGACGCGAACCGCGGTTGACTACGTGGGAGTCCAGCGACATAGCCACTACGCTAACTGCTGGCTCCTGCGGGGTCTTTACTAGTCATCCTTACTGATCTTGTCTTGAATGTGCATACAAGTACCAGCTCCAGAGAAGAAATAAGTTTTATCTTAAATATAATGTTTACCAGGTAAAAAGAAAGAAAAAGAAATATGCCCTGAGGGAAAAAGAAACAAATATGGCAGCAAAATGGCAAATGGCCTGGAGACTATGGGGACGCCTGAGGCAAGGTAGCAGTGAGGCAGCTGTTTCCGTCAGTGCCAGAATCCTGTGCACAAGGATTTCCTTATCACCTATGACAAGTCAACAGCATGTTAGATAACTTGTAAGGAATAATTCTACTGAGATGGAATCCCACTGGAAATTAATGTAGAAGATACAAAAAGTTAACTTAGCAAAGAGACAACAGGACTGAAAGGAACAGCAGACCCGCCAGGGTGCAACATGAGGCTAGGAATGCCTGTCTTGGGGACGGGGGATATGTCTGGCTACTCCCTGAAAGCGAGTTGACAAGTGACTTGCAAACGTGTCATCTGGAATACGTAGGTGTATTCCAGAGGGGCGTCTTTCCTGCTCTGCCCCCTCCTCCTCCGGTCATCCAGACACGGTTCACAGGCGGGCTCAGAACCAGGCTCGCTAAGGCAGACAAGGGGAAGGGCTGCCTTCCCCTCCCCACGTATTCTGCCAACGGAAGCGGGAAAACAGCCTCCCACCACATTCACCACTTTCCCCTCTGAACCAGGAAACGGTGTACCTTGGGGGTATCCCAGCAGATGCCTCAGAGGCAGGCACCCCACATCCACAGGCGCTCTGAACTGGAAGCCACTAAGGCCCTCGCAGCGCCTGGACGAGCACAGCTCTCAGAACCCACAGCCCGGCACGGCCGAGGTGGCATTTCTTGTGGTCCAAACTAGTTCAGCACTGCTCCGAACCCCACATCTAAGCCCTCGCCCTCTAAACCTGGGATCTCGAAGGACATGTTATCCCTTGCCCCTAACACTGCTGGCTGTAGCTTCATGTGACCTCAGAAACTTCTTGAAAGACAGGAGAAAAAAAAAGCACAGGTGAATTTTAGGGACTAAAATTCTAAATAGTGTCTGAATTGGGGAGTTACTTAGAGGAGTACCAATGCCCCTTGTCCAACTCACTGCTTGGGAAACACCCCTTCCCAAGGTGACTGTGTTCCCATCCGTTTGCATTTCCTGGTTTTTAATGTGCAGACTAAGTTCTATTAATACCTCCAGCCATTACTATTTTCTCCCTTCTCACAATTCCTGACAGCTCTTAAGCCATTTATCCAGGCAACAAACACTCAACAAGATACATAACTAGTCTTCTCTCAGCAACACAGCTTATTAAACACTAGTCACTTGCCCACTTAAAAAAACAAACAAACAAACAAAAAAACACTGAGGTAGGTGTCCGAATGGCTTTTTTTTTTTTTTTTTTTGAGGGGTTTTTGCTATAGGGCGCGTGCACTCGCCAGACAGAGACAGACAGAAAGTGTGAAATCACCCACCAGGGGGGATGGCCATGCTGCAATCCCTTCTCCTCCATTCTCCTCTGGGGATCTTGGGCACATATGTACACGTGCCTGGTGTGAGTTTAAGCCACCGGGTATGGGACTCAAACCACGGTCGACTACATAGGAGTCCAGCGACATAGCCATTACGCTGTTGGTCTCCCGAATGGCCGTTTTTTGGGCAGGAAAGTAAACGCTCGTTCACCTAAGCCCTTGAAGGGTCCCTACTTCTTTCAGCTACTCTGAGAGGCAGCAAATGCCCTGGAGATAAAATAATGAAATGGACAGAGTTGCTGCACTCTGGACACAAGGGCCACTCACTAGAGTCAGGTGGGCAAGTGCAGGGTGCTCTGAGAGCACACGGGGGCCTGATCCAGCCTTGAGAGATTAAGGAAGGCTCTTCTGATAAGTGACCTCGAAACTGGGACCTGAAACATTGTAGGAGTGAACAAGGAAACATGTGTTTAGGAAAAAAGAAAAAGCGTCTTTGGAAAGTGGTGTTGTATCACGCAGGGAGTGGAGTTCAGCCCAGAGAAAACACAATGCATGATGGGGGAGGATGTGCAAACCATGGAAAACGCGGCCACAAGCAGTTCACAAAAGGCAAACCCAGGGGCCACATTATGTTAAGCAGTTCCTACTCTATCCTGAGAGCACTAGGGAACCACATAAATTCTTTCAGCCAAATGACAGGATGAGAAACACACTTTAAAAAGATCCTCAGTTGGGAACCAGCAGTTAGCGTAATGGCTACATCGCCGGACTCCCATGTAGTCGACCGCGGTTCGCATCCCGGACCCAGTGGCTTAAAACTCATGCCAGGCACGCGTGCGTGCGTGCGTGCCCAAGATCCCGAGGGGAGAATGGAGAAGGGATTGCGGCGTGACCATCCCCCCTGGGGGGTGATTTCTCATTTTCTGTCTATGTCTCTCTGGTGAGCGCATGTGCCCTATAGTGAAAACCTCTCCAAAAAAAAAAAAAAAAAAAAATCCCCCTTTAAAAAGCTAAAAAACATGCTGGACACATGTGCATGAATGCCTCAGATCCTGACAGGGTGGAGAAATGGAGGAGTAGGGACTGTGGCATGACCACACTCCATTGGAACCTATAGTGAAAACCCCTCCAAAAAAAAAAAAAAAAAAAAGATCCTCAGTTAACAGACGGAAAGTGAGGTGTGAGCCTGGATGCAGGAAAATGGTTAGAAAGGGACCCCTGAAAGGCAGAGGATAGTTCTAGGAGGCAGGTACTGATGTATTTTTAACTAGACTGGGAGACTGGAAGGCATCAGTTTGAAGGGAGAAGGCAGGACAAGGGCTAGGACACTGGCCTGGGCAACATGGTGGGTGTGGTGCTATTTGTTAATAAAGACTGTGGCAAAGTTGCTCCTTGCTTAGGCAACAAGCAATTCCGTTTGAGATCCATGCATCTGAAATCTAAGCAGGGCTGTCTAGTACACAGTTGGGAAGCTCTGAGCTGAATGTATTGATTTGGGAGTTTTTCTGACATGGAACTGAAAAAACCAGAGTGGGTATCTGCGACTCACGTGTGCATATTCTGATATTTCATGCAGTATTAAGCGGTTTTCCCATAGTGAGAGCTCAGAGCTTTCACTGGTACGGAAGATTAAGATCACCTGTAGACATGGCGCCAGAAGCCATGGGAGCAGGGCATGACCCCACGTGCACAGAGCCTACAGAGGTCGGAGAACCCTGAATGACACCAACACGTAAGGAAGGGAAGAGGAACTGGATCGAACACTAAGAGCATGTGACACCCGTGACACTCCATGGAGAAAGTTTCCAACGAGAGTGGTTAATTGTGCCAAAATTCAAAAGATAAAAGGGTGAAATTGCCACTGGAACTGACAAAGCTGTGGGTGACCTTGGGTAGGACAGTCTTCTAAATGTGTCTGGTAACCAGAGCGGCCTGAGACGTAGTCAGGCCTAACCAAGAGGTTGGCTCTGAAGGGGAAGACTCCAGTAGCGATAAGAGATGCGGGTTTAAGGCGGGATCTTCAAGGCAGGGATGGATTTCGGACACAGCCTTAGAAGTAACCACTTGGTACTGTGAGGCCAGACACTGGGAGGTTAAACCCAGGCTTTTCCACTCACTACTTAACTACGGAAAACTAACATCTCCCAGTCTACTTTTGGATTCTGTAAAACAAGAATTCTGTTAGGACTCCAGAGGAATTCAACGAGATACTAAACTATCTGGCATGGAGACCGGGCTAATGACTTGGGTACAAGTTTAATCACTACTATTTAGTTGCGGAAAGAAACCAGCACAGAAGTTGAAAACATGGGGGGAAATGGGAAAAGGTGCACTGGGGGCCCAGAAGGCCCTGGGGACCACAGCAGCGAGATGGAGTGCAGAGGAAATTAACCCTGTGCAGGAAGGCCACGGGAACGTTTTTGTTTTCCACGTCAAACAGGACTGAAGGTGATTTGAAGAGGGAGCTGCGGGGTGGGAAACGTGAGGTTTGAAAGGGCTGCAGGCAAGTCGGGGTTCGTGAGCGCAATCGGACCAGACCGCAGACACACCTAGGGTGCAGCCGAGGACTGTCGGCGCCAAGCTGGGCAATGCCCACCGACGTCGGCTCTAGAGCCCCAGGAAAAGCGCCGGAGGCCGACGAACCACCTGGGAGCTGTGCAAAGGAGAAGGCGGGGAGCGGTGGGCAGCACGTGACCGGCAGCGCCCACCGGGGAGGCTGGCAGCCCCAGGACGGTCCGGGTGGCCGGCCCTGGAGACCCCCGCCCGCCCGGGGCTTACCAGCAAGCCCTCCACGTTGATGGGGTCT